ACGCCAAGTGAGATGGCGCCTAGGACAAATTGGTAGGTGCATGCGCCATTTCAGATGGCTCCTCCTTTGAGGAGTCATCTGAAACATGGTTATTTGCGTAATTTTTTTCGAAACCCGGTTATTTGTGAAATATTATTTTAATACTTAGTTATTAATAAAAAAAATTCCTAAGTAGTTAAATACTTACTTAAATAAAAAGAGAAGGAAAAAACAGTATTGATGGATGACTTCAAGTTAAAAATTACTAAAAATCACCTATAAAATAGAAGAACGAAAAGATAGAAAAGTTGAGAGAAGTTTGTCTAAAATAAATTATTTTAATTATATAAAAGAGTTAAAATGCCATGGGGCACAATATACACACATCTTCCCATGTTTTAATTATAATCATCAAAAATCTTTCAAGTCGTTCTAGGTCAAAAGATATATAAGAGCATTAATATCTACTAAATTGTGGACTCGCAGATTGATTTGAATTTTTATCTCAAATTTTATTTTAAATAAATAAATATATTTTAGTAAATATAATTACATATAATATATATTCGTAAAAATAATAATAATATTAATGATAATAATAAATATTATAGATTTATATTATAATATTTATTAAAGAATATAATATTTATCAAAGAAGTTATAATATGAAAATCAATATCATTCAAAGAATAATATATATATATATATATATATATATATATATATATATATATATATATATATATATATATATATATATATATATATATATATATATATATATATATATATATATATATATATATATATATATATATATATATCATAAGTATGATAATAAATAGTGACTAGTCAATAATAAAGAAAAAATGATGAGATTTTATAGTTAATAATATTTATCAAAGAATATATATTATTGAATAGAAAATAAATATTAAAGAAATTACATAAAAGAATATTATTTCATATTTAATTATCAATTTAGAATATGGATAATAAAAAATCTAACTTATCAATTTTAATACAATGAACTTTTTTAATTCAGAAAACAAAGAATTAAAGAAATCATAAGTATGGTAATAAATAGTGGCTAGTCAATAATAAAGAAAAAATGATGAGATTTTTTAGTTAATAATATTTTCAAATAACATAATACTTAGTCAATATCTTCAAAAACATACTTTATATATTTTATTTAATGAAATAAAAAATATTTAAAGAGCTAAAATTTTATTTTAAAATTAATATCAAATATATTTTTTAAATAATTTTTTAATTCTATATAATAAAATATTTTAGAGTAAAAGGTATTTTAATTCAAAAATATTATTATGTTTAAAACTTTAAAATAAATATAATATAAAGAATTTCAGTACAATGAATTTATTATGATAATACAATTTTTGTCCATTAAATTGATTTATACCATATCAATGTTAATTATATTTAAATTAATAATAAACTCAATCACATCTTATTAATAAAATATATATTATTAAGATAAATGATGCGACATAAATATATTCTCTTCACCTAATTCACATAAAAAAAACATATTCATATTAAAAAATAAAAGAAAATTAGAAAGAAAGTTAAAATATTAAATTAATAAAAATTAAATCAATAAAAAAGAGAGTTTAAATATTTAAATAAAATAATTTCAGTTTGTATTCTTACACAAAAATCAATAAAAAGACACAAATAGAAATAAAAAGTTTTATGCAAATCCAACCATACCATCAAAAAATTATTTGTAGACAATGATGATAACTCAATATCATATATTTATAGGTAGAGTGGTTATGGATAGAACAAAATATATGAAGATAAAAATAATTAAAGAAAAGGAGTTACAAAATATCATAAATATTTGAACTACTTATAATTAAAAGGAGTTAAAAAATATGTGATTATGTAACTCATAAACCTTTGAATTACATAAAAGAAAAGGAGTTACAAAATATCAAAAACCTTTGAGTTACTTTTTTTTCTATTTTATAACTACTATTTTTTAATTATATTCATTCACTCATTTATTGTATTAATATAGATTTTAATTAATAATTTAAATTGTTATTATTATTATTATTATTATTATTATTATTATTATTATTATTATTATTATTATTATTATTATTATTATTATTATTATTATTATTATTATTATTATTATTATTATTATTATTATTATTATTATTATTATTATTATTATTATTATTATTATTATTATTATTATTATATTATTATTATTTGTTTCTATTCATAATTATGAATCTTTGAATTACTTTTTTTTTTCTTCCTATTTTGTAAATCATATTCTTTAATTATATTCATTCACTCATTTATTGTATTAATATAGATTTTAATTAATAATTTAAATTGTTATTATTATTATTATTATTATTATTATTATTATTATTATATATTATTATTATTATTATTATTATTATTATATTTATTATTTATTATTATTTTATCCATAATTACTTGACATATAAAAATGTGATAATTAGTTATCATCATTGTCTACAAGCAATTTTTATCATAATTAGTTATTAAATTAATTTTTATATTTGTATTTGTATTTATTATTTAAAAAAATTAAGTAATACAAAATTTATATAAAAATATGTATAAAATAGTAAATAATTTTATTCTTATTTGATTTCTTTTATTTTCAATTTTTGTTGAGTAGTAATTATTAATTTATTTCTTTACTTTTTAAATTTTTTTATATTATCATAATTATAAAATTATAGTGTATTAGTTTTAATTTTAATAATTATTAAAATAAAATTTATTAAATATTTTTTATTTTTTGAATTAAAATAAAAAGAATGAAGAGTTTTTTGAGTTTTATTTTTTAAATTTATAATTGAAATTAGAATAAGAATATTAATAGTATCATCATCATTATTATATATCATATAACTCATATATTATATTAATTTTAAGATATTATAATTATATAAATTTTATTAAAAAATTTAAATTGAAAAAATAATAAAATAATTTTAAATTTTGTGATTTGTATTTATTATTTAAAAAAACTAAGTAATTCAAAATTTATAATTTGAATATTAAACAGAATACTTAAAATATAATAATTAAAAAATAATTAAAAGAGAATTAAGATTATAAGATATAATAGTGTTAATTAAATATAATAGTATTAATTAAAAATTTATATTATTATTATTATTATTATTATTATTATTATTATTATTATTATTATTATTATTATTGTTATTATTTGATAATTAAAGATTTTTTTGTATAAAAAATAAAAATTAAGATAATAAGATATAATAGTGTTAACTGAATATATTATTATTATTATTATTTATAATTGTGGTAGTGGGTTATTATATTATTATTTTTGTTATTATTATTATTATTTTAATATTATTATTATTATTATTATTATTAGTGGTGGTTTAATATTATTATTATTATTATTATTATTATTATTATTATTATTATTATCCATTTTAATATATAATTTATATAATTAGAGTTTGTATTTAGATTTATTATCAAATAACCGAGATGACATGTGACCTGTGTTGCTATTATGACTTTTTTAAATTTATATTAAGTCCTACTTTTATTCTTTAAATTGACTTTATTTATTTATTTATATTATTTCACATTTTCTAATTATTTAAAAAATTAATCTACATTTTTTTAATATTCATACAATATATCAAAAAATTTAAAGTAGACCCATTAAACATCACATTTATATTTAATAAAATAGTTATTGACACTTTGAAATATATATTTACTAAAAAAAATTAAATACGTTTTTAGTCCATATAAATATGCAATCCTAAAATTTTGTTCTTTCTAAAATTTTTCTTCCAATAATGATTCTTTTAAAATTTTGTGTCATATTTTTTTTATCTTTTTGCAATTTTGCTACGATTAAGCTACTAATTCGATAGTTAAGTAAAAAATCTTCACTAATTTATAATCAAATCGTATCTAAATTTCAAGAGAATCAAAAAATATAAATAAATTTTTTAATAAAACTATTATTCAAAATTTTTTTTTATAAAAACCAAAATTACAGGTATTACATATTTATAGAAATCCCAAACATATTTAATTCTAAATAAAAAAAAAATTATCATTTAAAGTTATGTCAGACCAACAACGTTCACAAACAATAAATTTTCGTAAATATCAATCAGTTTTAAAGACAGTAACATTGATATCTCCGTAAAAACGGCGGCATGGCATCTATGTTTATATCCATTACACCCAATTTAATTCTTTAAATAGATTTCACTTAATTTTTTTTTTTATTTCATATTTTTCAATTATTTAAATAATTTATTTATATTTTTCAAATATTCATACAATAACATATAAAAAAATTTAAAATTGATCTCATTAAACATTACATTTATATTTAATAAAATAATTGTTTGCACTTTGAAACATATATTTTAAGAGTTAAATATATCATATCCACTTCAATGAAGTGATATTTGATTTTATCTCCTTTAAATTTTTTTTTTTTGTGATTTACTCTTTAATAAATAAAGATTCTTTTATAATAGACTTTCATCACTATTTCACTCATAATCTTTCTATGTGGTATTATTTTTATTCACTGTATATTAATTTTTTTTATTTAAATAATGAAATGTCAATATTCTTTAAAAATATAAAAAAATAATAAACGAATTTAATCATATAGGGGGACAGATAAAACTCATTATAATAATAGGAATAACATATATTTAATCTATATTTAATAGAAAAAAAATCATATAAAGTTATGTCAGACCAATAACGTTCACATGTAGGTTGGATTAAATATAGCATGTGTAGAAACGGTGGCATGGCACCGATGTTCACGCATACTATTAACTTTTTATATTATTAATATAAAGAGAGGGAAGAAAAAAAAAATTATGAAATTACAATAATAAGATTGAAAACAATACATCAAGTTCTCCATAAGATGAGAAAATTATTTATCAAAATAAAAACATGAATTGTATTATATGCTACTTATTCCATCGAAAGCAAGTAGATCGTCCATCTTTTTCAGTTTTACATGGTCCAGATTTGAATATATTCCAGTTGCAATTTTCACATCCAATTCTAAGCTCATCATTGTTGTAAATATCAAACCAATGGAGTTCCCCATTCCATGTAAAACCACAAAAGAATAGCGTGTGGCCAATAATTCGTCTAGGTTGAAAACTCCAACTATAATTTTCACCGTGATGTAAAAGATGAACTCCTAGATCATCGTCTTTAGATTTACAATAAACAGTTAAATCTAAATTTCCGTCTAAAGAATTAACAATATTCTCATGAACTCCAAGTATATTGTTCCCCAATAGCAACATTAACACACATATCAAGATTACATATTCGAGAAATGAAAACATTACGCCTTTGAATGATATTTTTGTAAAAATGACTAAAATTTGATATATGAAAGAAAAACACTTACATTTACAAGAGGTTGTAAGGATATAAATACATAAATTTTGATATATATGGATAAACATTTTAAATTATAACAAAAGTAATTAAGGAATGTGCGAAAAACAGATTAGTAACTACTAAGAAAATAATTTGGATAAGAAAAAAACTACTAAGAGAAAATATTGAGTAAATATATTAAACAAAATAAATTCAAAGAGATTCATAGTCCGTTTCACAAAGTAATTAATATTAATTTTAAAATGAATTACTACTTTGTTTAAACACAACACAATAAAATTTAAAATAAAGTTTTTCATCCATACATTAAAAATGTAAATTTTCATTATTATAAGTTAAATCTTATCAGATTTTAAGTCTTCTCCCTTTTTGCTTTTTTATTCAATACATTTTTTTATTATAAAAAAGTTGAATCTTATTATATAAAAAAGTTAAATCTTCATCATTGTTGTAAAAGGTTATATTTTTCCAAAAATTCCATTATACGTACATAGCATGTCTTGATAGTGGTAATTTTTTCTATGTGGTATCTCTGTGTAACTCTCATTTTTTTTCTAAAACATCTCTTAAAAAATAAAACTGACTCGTTGTTGCACGAGCGCACGAGAAGCGGATAAATTATATGTAAATATGAATAATTTAATTTTTTTAAAATATGACAAAAAATATATATGATATTTTAATTTAAATATTTTTATTTGATTTTAAATATTCAATAAAAATGTAATTTTTTATATGATTTCAACTTTTTTTAATAGTGGATACATTTCTTTTAACATCGAACTTTTTAAATTAGTAGTGAATACATTTCCCTTAATCCCAAATTGTATTTAATATTTTTTTAATGGTGATTTTTTTATTAGAATTATGTTGTGTTTAAAATGAATCAAATTTGAAGTGAATTTTTTATTTTAAAATATCTTATCAACGTTAAATACTATTATGTGTGACTGTTTGATTTTATTTATTTTTATTGTCATTAAAATCCATTTTCTAATTTTTTATGTTGAATATGTACATTTAAATTTCAAAATAAACATTTTTATTTATATGAAAAATTATATAAATAGTATTTTTATTTTTATTAGAGAAATATATGATAAAATAAATATTATAATTTTGACCATAATTTTATAAGTTAATTTTTTTAATTGATAATGATTATATTTTTTTGAAAATAAATATAAACAATTTTCAAGTTTACAAAAAGTTAACCATGATTTCTGAATTAAATTATATAAAAGGTTTCTTTTAAAATGTATTTGTAAGAATTATAAAATTTATACAATATCTTACAACATTGTTGCCAACTATTTTCTATATATAGTATATAAAAAATTATTTGAGATATTATTGAGGGTTAATAATTGAGGTTGAGAAAATGAAGAAAAGAGATAAATATAAACATAAGAGAAAAAACATGAAATTTTTTAGAAGTACCACATCATTTTTTTTACTAGATGGTATTTATATTTAAATAGACGACATTTCAAATGAATAAGAAAACAATTTTGGAGTTCAAAATTTATTTTGACACAAAATCTTGTCATTTCATTATTTTAATCTAAAAGTGAATGTTTATTCAGTTAACCATGAATATGTGCTATTTATGTAATATTATTTTCTTTTCTTTTTTAATATCAAATATACTTTATTTTCTAGAATGAGATGTTTCTTTTGTAAAGACACTCTCTCTCCTCCGATTTCTTTTTTGTTTTGTTTTTTATATTAAAAACTTCAATTTATATTAAAGTTTTAATGATTTAATATTTATAAGTTTAGGTTTAAAAATAAAAATTATTTTAGCTTTTTACTATGAAGAGACATTTTTTATATGGTTATGATAATAATAAAAGAATATTTTTTACAAAAGAGAATATTTGATTATTTTCTTTCTATTAAAAAAACTCATTGACAAAATAATAATAATAATAATAATAATAATAATAATAATAATAATAATAATAATAATAATAATGATAATGATAATAATAAAATATTAATATTAATAATTATTATATTTAATATTGACGATACAATCTTATTATATTTTATTTTTGATTGAATGCAAAAAAATAATATATAATCATTATTTTAAGACTTAATTGAACCTCTCTCATACTTTAATACTTATAATTAATGATATTTCCATTTATTTAATTACAAATTTCTTGTAAAATATGATAAATCATCTAATATAAATTTATTGTAGACTTATAGATAAAAATATAAGTTAAATGTTCATTGATTTTCTATAAAAAAAAACATGAAAGGAACCAAAATTATTTGAATTTAAAATAGATGGATTAATTTCGTGAATAATATAAAATTAGAGGATCAAAATTATAATTTAGTCTTATTTTAATTATGTGTAGTATAAATATCTTAATAAACTACTTATATGAATTTTCTCTATATGAGAGTGTTGTATTTTACAAAAGATAATATTCGAAAATTAATTTTCAATTTTTTTTTAAAATACCAATTTTTTTTGGATAAATATAAAAATATATTAAAACCAACAACTATGAGGTATAAGGTGATCACTAAGGATCAACCCCCCAAAAGACAAATACTCTCAACAATTACAAAACCATTAACTCAGCTAACTTCTTCTTAACTTTGGGTATACATCACCCCATATAGATTAAATTGTCTATCACTATTCCCCTTATATTTTTGTTATTTACATGGATTACAAAGCTCTTTTTATTTCTATAACTCCATGCTTCATAGACTGTCTCAGCTATAGCACTTCTAATCAACATAGCCTTTCAACCTTTAACACTTCCTTGTTTAATCACCCAAAAAGGTCCTCCTGCCACCCACCAGGGACATGAAAATGTTCATCCATTTCAGCACATCAGTCCATATGTGTTGAAGTCCTGCACATTGAAATAAATGTTCTAGAGTTTCTACTTGGCTGCAAAAAACACAAAAGTTTGTAGACAACATCACAAATCTGCAAAGCTTTTCTTAGTGGCTAAGTTGTTATGGCAAGCAAACCACAAAATAAAAATGGCTCTAGGCCTAAGAAAATTCCTATACATTAAATGTCTCCAAGTTACTTTAAGTTAATCCCCTTTGATATGCTTATAGACTTTCTTGGTATCAAAGTTGTTACTCATAGTGTCCCAATCATTCATGCTATTCACCTTGTCCCTTTTGTTTTAGAATGACCTTAAACATCCATGAGAAAGAAGGCTTTATTTGAATATGCATCAGCTGCTCTGACTTGATGTAGTAAGAATGCATCCATTTTATCCAGAGGGACTCAGCCTTCCCACTAAGATTCCACAACAATTTAAGCAGAAAAACTTGATTCCACTCTTCCAGAGATACAACATTAAGCCCCCTTGATCTTTAGGTGTGCACACTTGTGACCAAGCCATGGGATATTTCCTAGAAGCTCCATCACTTCCACTCCATAGAAAATCTCGACAAATTAAATCAATTTTCTTTACCACTTTCTTAGGAATAGGAAGGCACTGAACCCAGAACTGTGTCATAGATCTGGCCAAACTATTGATGAGTTGCAGCCTACCAGAATAGCTCAGGAACTTGGAGCTCCAATGATGGATTTGAGCAACTATCATGTCAACCAAGCACATGTAATGCTGAACTGCAAGCCTTCTGATCGAGAGGGGAATACCCAGGTATCTAAATGGAAGAACTCCTTCAGGGAAAGCTGTTATCCTTTTAATTTCCTGCTTAATGCTATCATCAACACCACCCAAATACACTCTGCATTTCATAGGACTAACCTTCAGGCTAGTGGTCCAAGAGCTCCTGCATTTTTTCCATGGCCAACTTAACAGAGATAAAGTCTCCTCTTTTGAATATCAATAAACCATCAACAAAACTGAGGTTGATGATCTTCTATCTTTCACACTTAGCATGAAAATTAAAACCATGAATTTTATGCAGCTTATGCAAACATCTGTTGAGATATTCCATCACAGTGACAAAGAGCAAGGGGGAGATGGGATCCCCTTGCCTAAGTCCTACTTTGGCTTGCATAATGGAAGTAACCTCTCCTGCAATGTTGAATCTATAGGAAACATAAGTGACAACTCTCATAATCTAAAGCCTGAACCTGTTGGGTATGCCAGTCTCCTGCAGAATATGTTCAAGAGCACGCCAATCCAGAGTGTCATAGGCTTTCTGGATGTCAAGCTGAAGCATACATCTAGGTGTGTCATTATCCATGTTGTATCCCTTTATCAATTCATAAGCCAACATGATATGGTCGTGAATTTTCTGGCCAGAGATGATCACTTCCTGACTAGGATGGATAATGTTATTCATAATGCAGCCTAATCTACTAGTTAGGATCTTAGAGATAACCTTGTATATTGTAATGCAGCAGGAGATAGGTCTGTAATCTTTGATAGTTTTTGCAGCATTACCTTTAGGGACTAATATCACTAAAGTACAGTTGATGGCCCTGTACATGTATCCCTCATCAAAGAACTCCATAACAACTTCCAACATATCCTGCTTCACAATATTCCAAGAAGCCTTGAAAAACTTGGTACCATAACCATCAATGCCCAGAGCTTTTAGATCTCTTATACCCTTCAAAGCTTCTTCAATTTCTGCAACAGCCACAACAACTTCAAGTCTAAGTCTTTACTCATTTAACACTTGAGGGCCATCTCTCATAGCTAGCACATCTATACCCTGCAAGCTCTATTCATCTTTCCCCATCATGTTACGATACAACTCCCACACCTCATTGTCAATGTCAGTTTTAGAAGTTAGGAGGATGCCATTATCTGTGTAGAGTCTCTTCATGTCAGCCTGCTTCTATTTAGATTTTACATATGCATGAAAAAACTATTATTCCCATCTCCCAATCTCAACCAATTTATCTCAGATCTATGTTGCAGCATATGCTCTTCAGTTTCACTATACTTGATCAATACTTCAGTACACACCT